TGATGAAAAATAAAAGGCAACCATTTAATGGTATTAACTGGTTTATGAAATTTGAAATAGACACGTGACAAATTTTTTATCGAAATTTAAATTGCAGTAAAGAATTAATTGTCATGATGAGAAAAAAAATTTAAATTTGTGAGAAATTGCAAAATTAAAATTGGGCTAAAACGCCTCTAATTAGCAATTATAAATAAAAGTGCACTGGAGGGGTAAAATCGTCTGAAAAAAGCCAATTATGATGCCAGCAAATATAATTCAAAAGGTCAAAGTGCCATGTCAGCAAGTATGGACGGAATTTTAACAGAGGGGCTGATTCGGTTCATTTCGAAGTTCAGGGGGGTATTTTATACGTTGGGTATAGTTCAGGTAGGTAAAATGAACTTTACCCTTTTATAAATGGTATGATATAAATATATAATTGAATAATTAAATATCTTTTTAATTTTGGAAAATGGTGACATGTTTTTTGATAATTTATTTTCACCAATTAATTTGCCACATAGGATGAAATTGAATACATGTCACCAATTGAAATTGACAAATGTCAATCAATTAGGTGTGCAATTCAACTTTTATATATTATATAGATGTTAATCTGGATATGCTTATGTTGATTATAATTGTAATACTAATATATCCAAATCCTTATCCTATTCCTAATCTTATTCATAACACTAATCATATTCTAATCCTAATCATAATTCTAATCCTAAACCTATTTCTAACATTAATTATAATCCTAATAATTTTATTACTAATAATACTAATGCTATGCTAATGTTAATTCTAATTATAATTCTAACCATAATCCTAATCCAAATGCTAATCATAATCATAATACTAATACATGTCACTAATTGTAGTACGAATCAATAATCATAATCTTAATTATAATTCTAATACTAATATTAATCATAATCATAATCCTAATATTAATTATAATACTATATTAATCCGAATCCTAATCCTAGTATTAATACAAATACTAATTCAAAGAATATTAATTATAATCCTAATTCTAAAGCTAATACTAATCACAATTCTAATTATGATTTTGCATCAATGTTTTGCAATCATCTATTATTTTGTATCAAAAAAATTCTATTCAATCTCGCACATTTATATCAAATTCCTTATGTGTAGTACCTGAAACATCAAGAAACACATATTAAATATATTATAAATTAATATTTAATTATATTATCAAACTGAAATAAAATTATTTAAAATAATATAAGGGTATAAGCAAACATTAAGACGTGAAAATAACGATAATCGTTGTTAGTAGGATAAATTACAAAAATCCTCATGAACTTAGGCTAAATTACGGAAATCACCTCCACTTATCGGTAATTACCAAAATCCCCCAGATGTTTGTTTATGTCTTACACAACCCCCTTATGGTGTGTTTATTACGGAATCTTTTTTTATTCCATGTAATATCCCAAAAATTGTGGAGTGTACCCTTGCAAATATGACATTTCTTTTATCTTACTTTTTAAATACAAAAATTACCCTTAGGGGAGGTAATAGTAATACTAAAAAGTTGTGAAAATGTTATTTAAAAAGAATAAATATTTCGTGTAAAGTACCCCTCAGGGTAATTTTTGTCTTCAAAAAGTACCATAAACAAATGTAGCTGCCGACACCTGACGGACACAAATAT